TGTGTATATATGTGTGTATATATATATATATATATTTTTTTTTTTTTTTTCTTGTGACTTTTTCCAGTTGCAGTCGCCTGCGTCAGGTTCAGTCTCTGCTCTGTGAGGGTGGCATTGCCACTCCTGATGGCATCCTGTGCTCTCTTGGTATGTTAAGTTGCAAACCTTTTATCTTAAACTTTATATTCTTTATCTGGCCTGGTTAACTGCACTGCCAACTGCTAATACTAGAGGAAATCACCAAACAAATGGTGGATAAAACAATTCATGTGGTCATTGCAAAACAGCCAATGAGTGAATATGAATGTATTTCTTTTGTGTATTTCAGGAATTGACAGCAGATATAATGAGGGGTGCACTGAGCTGGGGAAATACCTGTTCTATGGACTATATGAAAGAAATCAGCTGAATCTTGAACAACTCCTCGAGGAGTTTCCTGATGAAATGCTGGATGGTGAGTTTTTCCAAGTGTTGTTCACTATGTTTGTACTCCTATTTCTGTGCTTGCTTTAGTTTGTATCCATTCTGACACATTGCTTGTCTGCTTTCCAGATGTAATTCTGCTGATCAAGGCGGATTCTGTTCATCTGTACTGCAACCCAATGAACTACAGTTACCTGTTGCCCTACGTGTCCCACTGGAGGAACCTGCATCTCTACTGCATGACAGAGGCGGAGGTTAATGCTTCAGTCTTATCAGGCTTGTTGATTGCAGTTCCTGTATGCTTCAGTTAGGAGTAGGAACTTTATCAGGAGTATTCTGGCATGTTGATGTAGCCATCTGGCTAAAAGTTTAACCCTTGCAGGTTACTATTAATCTTTTCAGTCATTTTAAGTGTTACACCTTGTCTACACAGGCTGCACAGTGAAAGCAGCATATTCACTCTCATCAATGACACAGTGTGTTCTAGTTTTTTACCAATGCACCTGTAATGTGTGCGCAGGTGGCTCAGTCCCTTCAGGTAATGATTGCCATTGCTGAAAATTGTAAATATGACCCTTTGTAGCAGTGTTTGTGTTTGTTAATCCTGATCGAGTCCTTTTTGTAATTGTCCCACCTCCACACACAGTATGAAGATGAGGAAGCAGCAGAAGAATTCAAAATCTCCAGTTTTGTCACGATGGTGCAGGACTGCTATCGTATTGGTGTACCTAACAGCTCCCAGGGTACATATCATCACGTTTACATCTCCACATTCATTCACTACTTTTAAAAAGGTAATTTCACCAACAACACAGGTACATGTTTGCTCTTCTTTTCCTTCTAGGTCACATCCAGAGGTTTGACATGTTTATGGTGGAAAAGTGGCCCCTGATTCAAGCATTCGCCCTGGAAGGCATCGGTAGAGGGAGCTTCTTTACCATGAAATACAAGGTACCTTCAAACAGTTGCAAAAGTGAAAGATATTTAACATAAAAAATGTTTGTAGCACAACATTGTACTTGTGGTCCTACACTTCTTGTTTCAAATATTCCTGCTTTTCCAGCTAATGGACATGAGTGAGAAGCTGTGGCAGGTTTACAGCAGACTGGACCCGGTGTCCCTGGATAATCTCCTCACAGAGGTAATACCAGCTTCTTTTTACATTTGCATGTTCAGAAATCTAATTGGAATGATCAGTCATTTGTTTTTTTCCAGCATGTTATTGATAAAAGGAAAAGTTAAAAGTTACATTATCTAAAAAATGTTGTCTAGCTGATTAATCAGGCCGTCAGTTGAAGTATAATTGATTGATTTTGATAACTAAGTTTTAGTCAGTCATAAGTGACATTAATACTTTCTTCATAGTCATATTTAGTATGTGAAGTTGTGAACATGAGCATTCAGTATGCTACTGTATGTACTCTAACCTTTTTAGGACTTGGTGAACTTTGAGAAGCAGTGGAGCGGCTTCTTCTCCAGCATGGACCTGGAGAGCCATCTGTCCATCCTGGAGCTCTCTGAAGCACAGGCAGGAGAGGTACGTTTATCTCCACTTATGGGACAGGAGATCAAGTCTGCAAAAAAAATAAATGCAAAGTGTATATTCAAACTGCATTGTCCAATGTCTATGTGTAGTAGTCACAAGTGTGCTTGTGTCTGCATAAAGTGTATTCTCACCAATCCACAGGCATTCCGTACTTATTACTCTCATGGACTGATCTCAAGCAACATCACAGATAAAAGGTACGCTTCTTATTCAACAATGGCATATTCTGACGTGATATTCATTAGTTCATTAGTCTTAATACAATCTCTTTATCAAATGTTTCTTATTTCAGTAAAAGTCAGCAGCCCTTTGTGCTGCTTGGAAAGCATTCCTCCTCAGAGGATTTGGAGGGTTATTCGTTCAACTTTCCCTCAGAGAGTCATCAGGTCCGCAACACAGGACCTGAGGGTTCTGCAGCCAGACACATGGTGAGGAGCCTGAGATGGGAAACAGTGTGATGTAGCCAGCTAACACTGTAAACCACTTGCATTATGATAGGGTCCCTATTGGCTTGGCATCTGAATATGGTATGAGGAACCTTCAATGTTTTCTAAATCACATTGCTCAAGTTAAAGAGGACAAGTGGCCTGCAGCACCACCTGCTGAAGGGATTTGGTACAACATCTCAGGAAACATGTAGTCACTGACCCCATGTCTCCTGTAAATATGAGATTTAGGTATATTTGCAGCTCTTTTGTCCGTGTCATTTGTGAAGTGGGAACATGCCAGGATTGTATCTTTCAAAAGAAACCCTTTTTTGCTCGTTAGATTCTGCAGTGTGTGGCTCCCAAAGGACCTCTAGCCTGCTCTCGGACCTATTTCTTTGGGACCACCCACTCTCCATACCTTGGTGAGCTTTTACTGGATGGCTTTGCCTATTGCATATTGATTAACTGCACATTTGTAAAAATATTAGTTCACAGATGTTTAGGTTTTTGACATTGTTGTCCTTTGCATCACATTTCAGAGGTAGTCTAGCTGCTGCAGAGCACAGTTTATTTACACAGGGGTTAAAGGAGCTAACCCTCAGGATTGCTAGTGCGACATGTTGCTGTGTTGAGTTAATTGTGGGGTCCAGAACGGGCTTAGCTTGCCTGGGATTAACTGTAATATGAGAAGCCCTTATCTGTATCGTTATCATTTGTTTGTTTCATCCACAGGAAATCAGAACACAGAGCAAAAGAAAACAGAAGTCTTGTAAGTGATTTAGTTTTGGATCTCATGATCAATATTTTTTCCCTGTAAGCTATTGTTTTGTTAAATATTACAGAATATCAAAATAAGTTTTTTGTTTTGTTTTCAGACTTTTGTCGCAGATTTATTCAGCTGCTGTTCAAGCAGTTCTGTCAGGAATCAAAAGCTACTCCTTCACCTCCAGCGCTACCAAGGTAAGGAAAACCAGAGCACCTGTTTTAACATTAATAATTCAGAATGTAATCTATCACGTAGAGTTTCTCATTAAGGCGTGTTTATTATCCCAGGCCAAGGATGTAGCAGAGAACACCTTTCTACTGGCTTTGGACTCGATGAATTTAAGTCAGTACCGCAGTTCTCTCAGGTACAGACTGATCATCCGTCCTGTGAGACTTTTAGCCAAGCACAAATGTTGTGTATTTGTTTGACTTGGTTTGACTCTGTGTTTTCTTTGTTCAGGTCGAAATGTGAATTCAGCATACAAGCAGTGAATATGCAGGGAAGGTGGGTGTTCACTGGGCCTGGTTTGGACCACTGGTCTTTTGCAAGCATTTGCTTTTTGTGACACAAATCCTGGAAACATTTAATCATGTTATTGGAAAAAAAAATCTTTTTGTAAATGTGTGATTTCAGGATTTCAGAACCTGTTTTGTTCTTGTTTTCAGGATCATTCCTCTGACTGATAAAGACAGCCGTTACGTAGTAAAAACAGTAAGTTAGAGAGGCAAATCATTGTTTTTGCTTTAAAAAATAACTTGTGTACAATTTCCCTCTTAAACACTTTTTTTCTTCATCTAACTAATTCTACTTTTATTCTCAGGCGTCCATGACTGTCCATGACATCCCAGACCTGCAGTGGGACGGGGGCGACCTGGGCTCTGTGGTCTTCTCTGAATCCTTCTTGGAGTCCGGCATCAACATTCAACAGAAAGGTACAATGCTGATTAGATTAAGTCTAGTTAAAATGGATTGCTGAGTGATTCCACAAAGGACATTTGAGTTACACACTGTAATAAATACAGTGACGAACAAAAACAACAGAGCACGAGTATAAAAAAGCTGTTTTTCCTGCTCTGAGAATCATATTTGTGATCTACTGTATCTTCCCTGTTTGACTTTGTTGTTTGTTCTTCATTCTGTTTCCTCTCCTGCAGACGGCACTCTGTCCTCAGACAGCTGCTACACCGTCCTGACTACAACTGTGCCTCGATACGCCTGCTGGCTGGTATGTGTGGGGCCGAAAATTATGATTAATGTGATACGCAGAATGTTTGGATACCTACATGTTGTCTCGTCCTTAGTTTAAGGAATACACCATTTTATTTCTTCCAGCATTGTTTGTTTGGTGTCTTATGGTCATATTGTTTTTAGATGGAACCTGATGTCAAGCAATCTGAGCAAGCCCAACATCTTGCTAAGGTAAGCTCAGAGTTCATGTGTCTACTGCAGAGTATGAATCCGTGTTGATGTGTGTGTGAACATGTGACCTCATCACTTACACTATGTGTCTTCAACAGAAAGAGGAAGGCACTTGTCTGGGATCTGCTCTGACTGTAGCAGATGCTGCGTATGTGTTCTCCAGCAGCCAGCTCTCCACACCTGAAGAAGGTGACACCCTCCAGTAGTATTGACAAAACGTGCTTTTTATATATATATATATATATACACACAGTAACTTACAATGCTGCTGTACAACCTTGGATTCTTAGATTACTGACTTAGCCTTAGCAATTGTCAAAGTCCACCCTCCCCCACCCTGTCACATTTTAAACAGAAATGAAATTCTGTGAATCAACAAAATAGACTTTTCATCAAAGCTTTATTCACAGTATTTCATGTGACGGTACATTCACAAGATATTGTAGCCAATGTCTTACCTCGTTATGTGACAAAGAGTCGTGATTCTGCCTAACTTTCAATATTTCTTCAAATGTTACTCATAGGAAAAATCATTTTCCTCTCTGAGGGACTGCTGTTCATCCATTCTCAATATGGAAGCATTACACTGTCCAAAGATCACATCAGCACCATCAAGTTCTATGATCCGGTAATATTCACAGTTATGACACATGTATGATCACATATACACATATATACAAGTTCTATTTTGTACATATAGTACATTAATGATTTAAAAGACATTTCTTCACTGTGATTAAACATAATGATATGAATCCATATGCAGTTACGTTTCTGGTTCCGACCTGTGTATGATTTATGTTTGTCTTCTTACCAGGACTCCAGCGCTGTGGCGTCTCTCCTCGTGGAGTATGACAGCAGCCTGCTCCCCCACCTCCCGTTCCCCCTCCACAGCGCTGACCGCTGTCTGGTCTTTGCTCTTCAGCCCAGGTCTAAGAGCCACAGGGCCTTCTACTCCAAGGTAAACCCTGAAGCCAGTGACGTCTCACAGGGTTAGAGATTCAACATACACATGACTCAGCCTCTCATCATGCTTGTGAAATATGTTTCTAAGGAGCCAGCTGCCATGTTTCTACAGTAGCTCAGAACGGACAAACCAAACATTGGCTCTATTTAGGGCCTTTCGCGTTTTTGCGTTTTCCTGTTTTTGCGTCGGCCTCCATAGTTGTCCTACACACTTGTCACACAGAATCATTTTCAGTTGGTTGCAATCTGCAGCCTCTCCCCTAGATGCCACCAAATCATACACACGAGACTCTTAAGTGTTCAAAGTAACATGGTAAAAAACTCCCCACTAGGACCAGATATGCTTTTTGTGTTGGTCCATGGATGATCTATTACTGTAAAACAAGCCATCCTCATCATTGTATGCTCATTAAAGATACAGCTGCAGTTGTCTGAATCTTTTCTCTCTTTGGTTACAGGTTTTGTCAGTGTGGCAAAAATCTGACTCTGGACTTAATCTGCAAATGGTGGACCAAAAGCACCTGTCCTGGAACCAGAAAAACATGTAAGATAACTTAAGATTAGTTGTCTGTATGCTAGATTCCATTGCACATTCCTTGGAGTATGGGAAGTAAGCAGTTTGTCCTTGAAATATCACAGTTTTAGAAAATGTTTTTGATCTTATTTGATCCAATAAGGTCACAACTTTAATGATTTTTTTTGTCCTCTCAGGCACAGCAGGCTGCAGAAGCTGCATGACAGTCAGGAGCCACCAGTGGCCAAACGCAGAGGCAGCCTGAAGACTTCATACTCCCAGCTGCCAGAGCAGGACATGTTAGTACACACTCCAGTCACTCAGTAGAGGGCTTCACAGTTGGACCAAACAAATAATAAAACCTGATGCTAGGTATTGCTTCATCAGGGGTATGTCTTCCCAAAATAACAAATTTAGCCTGTGTTTCTTGATACAGTGTCATCTTTGGTGACCATCCACACATTAAAGACTCTTCCTTATCTGGCCGAAAATAAACAGTGCACACGCATTTTCTTTCTTGTCATTGTAGCTCTAACAAAGACGACCACATGTCAGGATAACTCGGCTTCTCGGTCTTCCCAAATCTGTCCCCTCGTATAAATAGACATCCAACTGTTTTAAGCATTTGCATTCAAAATGAACAAACCGCACATTGCTTCTAAAAATGTTTCATTGTAGGTCTCATTTCTAAGCACTCTGTTCCAGCAGAGATAATAAAAAAGAAATGATTTAGTGCTTTTAAATAGTATATGTAAACTGCAGAAACTGGAGCAAATAGGACGTGGTGGAAGGAAAGTCTTTAACTGTAGTACTCACGTTTATCCTTTTCCTTACATGTTCAGCTCCTAAAATACTAGTGCCATTCAGTTCTTACCTCCTTGTATTCTGGTCCACGCCAGGTTTGTTCAGCACTTTGCCTTGAGTAGTATCGGTCAGGAGCCCATCCTGTATGACCACCTGGGGGCACTCTTCCCCTCTGCAGAGCTGAGGAATCCAGTCACCAGTCAGGGAGACAAGGTGAGCACGTCGACTAAGGTGCAGCGGATCTTTCTCATTTGAAAAATGTAGACAATAACAAACCTTCCTGGTTCCTTCAAAGAATGCGTTGGTCTATCATCCCTAATTTGGCTTTTTATGTATGCAAAGGTTGTCATAACCATCATCACTGGATTACCAGGAAGCCATAAGAAAAGGCTCTGCAATTTCCTGGTCCAGTTGAACAAGGAACATGGAAGGTGAGCTGTTCCTTCGGTTTGTGTTTTGTTTTTGTTACAGTGTTGCTCTGTTATTATTTTTCATCTTATATATGTTATAGCATTACAATTTGATTTTGATTTCATCCTTTCTGTAGGTGGGTGGTGTACAGGCCTGGTCCTGGCAGCTGTGACGGCTTCTCAGCCTCTCACCTGCAGCAGTATTTGGCCAGCTTCCTGGAGAGCCAGAGAGGCCCTGGAGGCAAACCCCGTCTGTTGGTGCTCTCTCCTGGGTAAGACAGTCAAACCCCGTCTGTTGGTGCTCTCTCCTGGGTAAGACAGTCAAACCCCGTCTGTTGGTGCTCTCTCCTGGGTAAGAGTCAAACCCCGTCTGTTGGTGCTCTCTCCTGGGTAAGACAGTCAAACCCCGTCTGTTGGTGCTCTCACCTGGGTAAGACAGTCAAACCCCGTCTGTTGGTGCTCTCACCTGGGTAAGACAGTCAAACCCCGTCTGTTGGTGCTCTCTCTTGGGTAAGAAAGCCCATTATTTTGATACAGCTCGGATCTGAGAAGTCAAGACTCCAGTAGAGCAGAGCTGAGCTAAAAGGAACCGTTTATATACCAAAAATACTACAATTTGAAATGAATGTTATCTGACGTTTATCTTTCAGTCTTGAATACGAACAATGTCATCCGAGTACATAAAACAGATCGTAGATCTCGTCATTCTGTTGTCGTAGTTCTCCCACATCTTGGCAGGAGAAGCTGCTACCCTATGAGTACTTAGACACTATGGGGTATTCAGACCTAACAATACCAGAGGGCACTTGAAGAAATGACTAAAAGAAAAGAGTGAATTGATGACCTGTTCATTGTCGGTGTGTGATGACTGGTTCATTTGTAAATGTCTCTACTTGGACAGATACACAGATGTTCTGGATGTGGTCCAGGCTGTGCTCTTCCACCCTGACCCAGTTGTCCAAGCGTGTTTCACCATCGGCGCCGTCACTGCTTGTGTGGACCCGCTGGCCTCCTGCGTGGAGCACAGGTGATGTTTCTTTCTCCAGTAGATTAGTTCTCAACACTGCGGCTGTTAAAGGCAAAGCCAACATAACGAGCTTCGGCTGCCATAAAGAAATGTGTATCAGATGAAATGATGTCCACTGATATCAAGCTTAGTTTGGCGTTTAACAAAATCGCACAATTTCTAACCAAATGGACTGGAACTAAAAAAACAAGTGAGATGTGATGGATGACGATGAGACCAAAGCGTAGTCGACATGTCTCACATTGTACATGCAGAAGAAAAGGACCTATTTAGTGAATCAGTTGCACTCAACTCAAACCCAGCGCTTCAGTACATGTCACAGTCCTGCAGCGGCTTCTCAGTGAACGCCACTAATGAAGCAGCTGTATGTATTACAGCACATTTGTATGAACAGCTTCCCTCAGAATACGTCACCATAAATCCATCCAATGAGCAGTGAACACTCGCCACCTGTAGACTTGGAACATTGCTCAGGAAAGCTTATGACTTGCTCCGTTGCTGAGGACGGCAGTTGCACCCAAACACATTTCACAGCAATTGATTTAGTGACCCAGTTTCACAACAAAAAACTCTGCAAATAACTCCTGCAGGACAATCCGCTCTCTGCTATCTCTCCGTATGCTTGACATTTTCCAAAAACATACATTTTCTGCCTGCAGCTATTAATAAATGTGTATTTAATCTTTTTTTTGTGCCTATTTTGCAAAGTTAAAGAGGCTAAATATGCTAAAACACACCAGAGGTGGAGCCTTGGATTCAAATTGAGGGTTCCATTTCGTTATGTTTTCATTTTTAACTTTTAAAGTAACGTCTGGACAGACGGACCAGATGATGACAGACAGGGCCGGATGTTGGAGGTTTCCAGGACGAGGTTACATAAGACTTTTAGCTATTAAAACTCAAGGCTGGGTCCCTTTCACAGAGAGGATCAGGCCTACATTTAATCTCACTCTCCTTTTGTTACAGGCTTTAGATGTAGCTTACAGAGCTTCTCACTGTCGAAGATTGACTGAGCTGCTCCACACAATATGACATACCACTCCGGGTAATAGGCTGTTTTCCACTGCACGGCCAAGCTGCGTTGGCCAGTGATGCGTACATACAGATGAAGTCAGTCTAGAGGGTCTACTTTTTCCAACACGCTTGGAAAACTGCTTTGACCGTCTTCTTAACGAGACATTTCATTGAAAAGCCAGTGGGTGTTAAAACAAATATAATAATTAGATTCTGCACATTAACTCCAGAGCATATATGGAGAACTCCCACAGTCCTTTAGAAGAGGTGATGGTTTAATAATGCATCTTAAACATGTTCTGTATCCTGTGTTGTAAATATATTGAGATGACCACCCAGCCCCACTTGGCTCTGCAGTGGAAAGATGTGTTACAAGAGGTTTAGTCAGCAATGTGGTTAGCACTGACTTTTCCATGTGAGGCATCTTCAACATCCCCCCCGCCCCCCCGTCACTGTCTGTTGCCATAGATTGTGTGGAGATCTGTGGACCCACTGTGGTGCTAATTGGGAGTGGTTAGCCCAGCTTAGGCCTGACCTGCCTGTCAACCCCGTGCAGCATAGCCCCTCTAATCCCCCAGGTCCACATGTGTGACCAGCACCCCCTCCTCAGTGAAGCCCATCAGTCAGTCATGATCCATTCTTTGTGATGAATGTAGACAGTTCATTACATCAGGACAGGAAAGATGAATGCCTTTCAAATGGCTGATCCCCCAGCCTGCAGGCTCCCTGAGGGTCGCTGGTGGCCGGAGGGGGACTTGGCTCAGAGTCACGGTTCTTCAGAAAGTGGTGTACAAAACTGATCGATCTGAAAACTCAGGATAAATGATGTTAAGATGAAATGAGATTACAGAAAGCTTTTACACTGGGCAGTGTTCAGTCTGTCATGATGTCATCCTATAATAAATGCCAGCCAACAGCCATCACACTGAGTTAGCCTGTTTATTGCTGCACAACTTTGGCAAAAACCCATTCGTCATAAATAGAGTTATTGTTAGTGATGATGTTGTGGAACAAGACATGGGTTCAAATAAAGAGGACTATTAATCAAATACAAGGAAATACAGCTCTTGTGCTATGTTCATATTACAGGGCTTAAAGGAAGACTTCACCCTTGAAATGACCATTTGTATATCAATTACTCCGCCTGTGATGCCTTGAATTCTTGAAGAAATCTGTTTACGAACTCTCACACGACTCTATAATCCAAGTCTCAATTTTCTAATGTGAACAGGTCACTCCACCGTGACCATTCTCAAACTAAATGTGCATTTAAATGATGGCTGCCTGTCAGTGTTCACCCTGTACTCACGTATGCTGTACATTTAACTTGTGTTCTTCTGTCTCGTTCTCTGCAGGTTTGCATTTCCTAAACTCTTGGAGCAGTGCAGCCAAGGTAAGTCCTGTCTGCTACACTGTTTCCCAACAACGATAAACTTGGAATACTCAGGAAACATTGTATTGATACTCATTGTGTCATGCTGTTTTGGAAGCTGTACAGCATATCCATTTCTCAGGAAGTGTTCTGTATGATTTTTGTCAAGTGAGAGGAGAAGTTGTGCATTTATGGTAAAAATAATACTCTCACATCACAGTGAATTAGCAAATCCAGCTCTAACACCAAATTAAGAAGAAATATATTATATATGTAAAACAATGCTTTGTTGTTCGCTTTATTGATGCAGAAATGTAACTTATTGTTGACAAATTACACAAATATGGAGATCTATGGAGTACCTTGAAATCTGATCTAAATACTGAACTCACAGTGATGGTGTTCTAAATATTACCCACAATGCAGTTATTCTCCACCACTGTTGTTGTCAAAAGTCTTTATACAGATCTTGTATTATGAAAACCTAAAGGGTCAACCAATAACAGGGTCTCAGCACCCACTGCCCCAACCATCAGGTCATGTCTGAGAGCCCACCGTCTACACTCCATCTTGTATTCTATAGAGACACATTGAAGAGGAGTCTGGCTGTCTCACAATTATTATTATTATTATTATTATTATTATGCCTTTTTTACCTTACCAATTGTTTTGAAGGAATCCAAAAGCCAAATTCAGCTTGCAGGTACAACATGGCAGCAGTAATGCCAAAAAACCCAAACCTAGTGTGAAATATCTCTGCAGTGCCTACACAGACCTGATTCTGTATTTTCAGGAAAGTGAACCAGTTTCTCATGGAATTCATATTCCCTTTTTGCGCCTCGTTGTATGTCAGGTATTGTGAGCACCGTGGTGTTTACCGGGCTGACAGCAGAGCAGAAGCACCCTCTCATGCAGCATGTTCAGCAGCTGGTACGCTCTGCCAACCCCACCGCAGCCTTCATACTGGCAGAGAGAGGAGCTGTCACCAGGTAGGTGCCCGCAGAGTCATGATCAATGCCACAAACAGTCATTTAACTGCTTTTATCTGTGCTGAAAATATTCATTTTATTCCACTTTCTGAGTCTGTGTCTGAATCTGTTGGGTCAGAGAACATTGACCAATGCATTCTGTACTTGGAGTAATTCATTTTCTAATTAAAATGTTCAATATTTTCATATTTAGTTTTTGTTGTGTGTGTTTTTTTTATCAATTAGGAATGAAGATGTGAATCTGATATTTTCTGATAGCAGCTTCAGTGAGCCACAGATGCTGAGAGCCCGTTATGTCCTCTACCCTGGATGGTAAGACCCTCACCCGATGCACCACTTGACTGGTGTTGACCCCCGTGTGTCCTCACATGTCCTCCCTGAGCCACAGAATGCCGTTGATTCCTGCCTCGGCGTTCCTCCGCCCTACCTCGCCTCCCTCCCTGCAGTTTAATTGCCACTCGGCTGCAGTGGTGGGGGTATCGGCCGCTGATTGCTGTAAAGCCCCTCCGGGCATCTTGTGTTCTATCAGCAGCTGCCTCCTGGCGGCCTGTAACAAGCTTCTGGCCATGCAGTCGCCATGCACACAGAGGGGGGTCTCCTTCCCTTTGGGCCCGGTCCATTCAGCTCTTATGCCTCCGTTGTCAGCCTAATATGAACCTCTGCTAAATCCTCCCCTCAGATCATACACTGGATAGAAGTGGCCAGAGTCTGGCCCTTTTCCTTCACTCATCTTCGAGCTTTATTTTGTGTGTTCTTCTTACGAGTCGTAACCCTTTGACCGAGACATGCTTCACCTGCCGAATAGAGAGTATCTACTTTTACAGATTCCTCGTCCTCTTCCACAGTTTTACCAGCGAATCACAAGCACTGGCCTCTTTCATGTGGCAGCTGGTCGAGTAAACAACTTTCCAGCCAAAGACAAAATGTAGCACAAACATTTGGCTTGCTCTACGCTCAACTTTCTCACCATTTGTGTAATGTGCAATGTGTTTCAGGTGCAAAGGGCGCTTCTTCTCCGGTCGTGGGTCTCTGGTCCTCACCCAGCAGCGCGTGGCTTTCAGCCGGCCCCTCGAGAGGCCTCTATTTGTCACCCGCTGTAAAGGTGAGACGGAGAGTTCTTCCCCCCCGTGACTCTTACACGTGACAGAAGTTCCAGATATGAGCTGGCAGGGTTTGATGATGATTATATAAGCCGCCTTTCCCTCCAAATATGGAGACAACTGGAGTCTCAAAGTAATTGTCCGCTGTTGCTGCGAAACGATCTGTGTTCCCAGAGGATGCACTTGCTGCCAATTCTGCCTTCCAGGAAGCTGATCATTTAAATGAATGTTTTAAAACACAGTTCTAACTGCTGTAACTCTCATCACTTTTCTGTAGCGCTCAAGTCATCACTAAGGACAAGCCCCTTCAGAGGAAACGTGTACAACGTTTGGGGGAAAGTCCGGTTTTCTGGTAGGAATAACTTATTTTCATTCTATTCAGTCTTCAAAATACATCGACACTTTTACTAACTTTTGAAACTTTCAGATCGTAGTTTGAATTCCAGAGAACTTCTTTTTGTTAAGCATTACTAAACAAATGTGACTTCTTTCCTCGGTAAATATATGACCTGTGATTATTAGAGGAAAGGTTGCCCTCAAGGCAGTCCAGAAGCTCCTGACGGTAGGAATGCTGCTCGCTTGTTGTCTGGTGTTTAGACTTCAGCTCATAGTTTGGTTTCCTCCGTATAGTTTCCCACTCTTTGTTTTCATCTGCACACCTGTGTAGAGTTGTTGCATGAGGAGAGAGTGCAGGTGCCTGTGAGGAGATATGTGTAGAGAGCTGGGAAGAGACACTAGTACGGAACGAATGTGACTGAGACTGTACTGTACCATCCTGATCCTAATACTCACATCTCCTTGGTGTCAAGTGTGTATTACAGTCACTGTCCTTAGGGTAGTGTATCATTGACATCACTTTATATTTAGTTATTTTACTTTATTTCATCTTTTGTATGTAGCTGTTGCACATTCTATACTTATTTTGCATTGCGTTAGCAGGTATTTGACATCTTGTTTCTTTTCTACCACACGCGTGAGTTGTGAGTGATTTGGGGAGCAGAGAGGTTGTATAGATGTTCAAACATTAACGCCTCACCGACAGCATGCTGCGAGCACCACACGATGCTGCTGTAGCAGATGTTACACAAGGTGTGAAGTGTATGTGCTCCTTCATCTCTGGAACCTCCAGACTCAGACCAGCTGATGGAGGTGAGCTACAACACACTGAGCGGGAGCCTCAGCATGACCCCGGGCCCCAAAGAGACCAGCACGTCCTGCTGCCTGATCTTTGATGGTGTCGGCCTCACAGACGATGGACTGAAGGACCTGCTCAGGCTGTGTGCCAAGCAGGTAGGCATTTAAAGAGCATTGATGTTTTGGACGGCAATAAACACCCCGGGACTCATAACATAAAGTCTAATACAGTGTGAGAACATAAATCGTGTCATCACATTCCTTTGGTGTTTACAGAGACAGAAAAAGAAACCTAAGAAGACTAAAAACACCCTTTCACCACAAGAAATCAAGAGCATACATGTGAGTGTGTTTGTGTTTATAATTATATGTAATGTATTATCATTTAATAATTATCACTGGTAGAATTGTGTGTGGACAGAAGGACATTAAAGCTACTCTGTGGAACTTTGTCCACTTGGAGCAATGTTTTTATGAGCTCACGCCTGCTTTGTTCGTCAGCATATTGAATTACTAGTCTGCACATGTGCACTTCCCCGCTGCTGCTTTCATGCTTGGTGGCTGTAAGAAATTCAGCAAGCAGCAAAAGAGGACTTATAGTTTAAAAATATTCCCAGAATCTTGCAAATATGTGGAATGAAATGCATCCAACACATCTGTTAGACCCCGTGGATACATGGACATATGCCCTGTGAAACAATGAGTGTAAACATAACACTATCCACCTTTAAGTTTATTGCCAATAAATGTCACAGCAAGAGGTTGTGAGATCGTTGATACTGTAGAAGCCTCACTGTGCATTCGCTAATGTTGTCTTCAGAGACAGCCTGGGCTGGGTCGGACTATTTTCAGACAAAAACTTTAGGCGTTTGTGTTTGTGTTCAGATGACCCGGCACCTGGACCCACTACCACAAGGCTACTTCTACAACGGTCACCAATATATGGACATCTTTGGAGAAAAACTGAACCTCCATCCCTGTATCCTCTTCATGGTGGTCACTGTCTACTGTAGAACCTCCAGCACGTCTAATCTGTCACTCAACCCTGGAATACCAGAGGTTAAAAACAATACACCAGCACACTTCAATCAGCTGTTGAACAGAACCGTACTGCATACAGTCTGTGTGTGAGTCATAACAATCAGGCTTTGTGTTTGATAGGTCATAGAAAAATGTCTATCTATATTTAATGTGGACCTAAACAGAGCAGTGACTATAAATCAGGTCTGTTGGTCTGTGTGATTGTGCTGCTGTCTCCCTTACATCGCTGTTACCACAGACATGGAAGAGTTTATTAAGGAGTACCTCGCCGAGGCCAACAAAGAGGTCGAGCTATTCAACCGTCAGCTGGAGCTGCAGGGACAGCCTGACCTGTTTGATCCCTGATAGAATCTGTATGTCCACTGCCTCCATCTGTCTTATTTAACACTAAGGGAACCACTGTGGGGGGGACAGGGAGGGCACAGGGCTTATGTTCCAAACACTCAATGTTTGGTCACACCACAGGAAGTCCGTTCATTATCTCCGTACGATGTCACTTTGTTTCCTGATTTGTTGTCAGTAGAAAGGTTGAGTGCAGATGAGCTTTTAAATAATCACACATAAAAGAAGTGGGCGGGGCGGTTTGCCTTATTTCCTACAGTAACGCCACTAACTGTACAGTTAGGCATCATATTTATCAAATGACTGTGACTAATCGATGCGGTCACCTCCGTTAATCCAAATTAAGACGTCTTCACCAAGAGATGAGAGTTGCTGACAACTGCGGACGAATCTGAAACATAACGCAACACAAGACTCCATCTTTAAACCAGTGCGATTACGCCGCTAAGCCTGCGAGCGAAGAGACTTTCACAATCGAAGGGAGTTTCCAACCGCACACTCTCCCGTCAGCCCGCGCGTTACTGTTTATCACAGTTGGTAAATGAATGCCTATTTGTGGACAGGCATGGCTAGCCGTGTGATTCTGGTGGGCTCCCTGGTGGGGTTTCTCAAGAATCGCTCCTCCTCTGTTGTCACCCAATCCGCGGCCCACCTGTTATCTTGTATGCATGCCACGCTGCAGCAGAGGGAGCGCTTGGCCATGGAGCTGTAAACATTGGACAGCCTGCTGGCTGCAGACAACTGATGAATGATGCCATTAATCACATAGCTAAACGCCATCCCAGTGCTTTATTTTAAGACTCCTGAAGTGAATCTAATGAAAGTGCAATAAAGCAGACTTCAGTCCTTGCAGCAAAGCTGAGGCCGTCCAGTACACATTGAAACACTGAGGTAACGTGTCCAACACAAGCTGAAAGCACTCCGTTCTGTTCTTTATAACGCTGCTAGTTAACAGAGAGAAGCTCACTGCAGCCAGGTGTGGAGCACTCATTGCATCATTTTGGTCAAAATGTTCTTTTATGGTTGCATTAGTTCAAAGTGTCAACATTCCCGTGTTTTGTTTTTATCTTGTGGGTCGGACAAGGGGAACATGAGGAAAGACGAGTAGAGCCTTTAGTGACGGGTGTAATGCTTTGTACGGGCGTTGTGACTTTATGTCCTGTTTGAATGAGTCGTTGTGCTACAGCTCGCTCTGCGTTCGTGTGTCACACTCATGTCCTCTGCATGTCTTCCTCTGGTCAGGGTTCCTACGCAGGTTTTAAATGAGTTTGATAAGCTGTGGGGCATTTCCTGGGAAAACCTGCATCGTCGTTATTAGTGCAGCTGCACATTTACCACTATGTGATATGTAAGCAAAGAAGCGTTTCAAAGTAAAAGCGTGGTAAATCAGCGCACTTTAGAAGTTGACGTGTGTAGGAACCCTACAGTCTCTGGAGCTTTGATGGCTTTCATTCATTATGGGGTCAGCAGTGTAACATGAAGACTAATTAACACGTTGTGGGTGAATTGATGCTGACAAAGGAACATTTTAGTGCACATAGAATACGCACACATGCTGCTGCTGCTACAACGGTACAATATATTGCATTGGCCTTTGTAGTTTTACCCCAAACACAAATACCAGCTTGTAATCACTGAGTACTCAGAGAGGAAGGGTGTTTCTGTTAAGAGCATAGTCTAAGGCCTCAGCAGTGGAGGGAAGCGCTTGCTTTAGGTTCTTATCTTGGATATTATTAGATCAGTGGTGACCTTAGTGTTGCCATCACAGCGCTGGCTATGTCGTGTTTTACATGTCTGACTGTCAGCGCTGTCAACAGCCAGTAAGAAGAATCAATAATGTAGTTGTCAGCTGGCAGGCAAAAGACAAGAGTGATAACATTGTTCGCAAGTTCTCTCTCTCCCGGACGACTTGTGAGTATTCAAATAATCCTCAATCTGAACTCAGCCTCACACTGCTGGCCCCATCCGTCCTCTCGCCAAAGTCCGCTTTGATCCCAACCAGCCACAGCGTCTTATGCTAGATGTGCCGCTGTCTCTTAGAAGAATAGAATGCATAGAATAGCACATAGCCTCTAACATGTATTACCCCCGGCATGAGGGGCTCACATGGAGAAGAGGAGCCCACCCAAAGTTACTCATTCCTCTCTTACACTCCTTCTCTTTTACTCTATAAAAGAAGTGCAATTGTACCTCGTGTTTTTAAATATATATATATATATTGTACTTACAGTACCCTCAAAAAGCTCTTTAAGGACAAAGCCTAGCAAACAGATGAGCAGTCTCTCACAGCTTGGATTCTTCTAGCTTTGACTGCTTGTAGCTCGCAAAACACCATAAAGTGAGATGCCACGCATACAAATGACAACATAATGCAGCAAACAGATTACGGGGGGGGGGATAAGTGGACCACGATAATATGCAACATTAATCCTGTGTTGACAAAATGCGTGATGCTCTGTTTAACGTGTCAGGGTTGCTCTCTGTTGTGAGCAACTGTTGCTGTCGTTCTGTAGTTCCGTAATACTGCAGAGAGTTCCCTTGATTGACAGCGAAATAGTTGCGAGGCTGACGTATGGGAGACGAAAGGTTCCACAAACCTGCTCCACACGTCAAAGAGCAGCGAAGAGGAAACTATATTTGGCCAAGAGATGACAAACGAGTCCTTAAAGAGCCGAGGGTTACGTAAGATGTTTGTGATATTTAAATGAAATGACCACGAACACATACACACGACTACTGCTACAAGTACGTCTACACTATTCTGCATGTGTTGAGATGTCACGTGAATATGATACCGCGTATATTCTCAACAAAATTGCCTTTCACCAAACTGGTACAACAAAGAAAAAATAATCACATTTATTTTACATATCTGCTAACAAATTAGAATTACCTCGGACACGACAAATAGTATTTTTGTAAGACTGTGAATTGAGAATTCTAGATGCAAGCAAAACGTCTCCTCTCGCAAAAGCAGATGCAAAACAAACAAAGTCAAAAGAGAATGTGATCGGTAGTGAGACGTCGGGTCCGGTCCAGCAGTGCCTTGGCTCCGGCTAAGAACAGCAGAGAATAAAGCTGCATTCAGTGAAAGGAATCCATAGAGTCGCTCTCTAGAGCAATGTGTTTTTACCAAGTCAGAGGGTAGAGCAGGCGATGTCACACGGGGGGGAGGGCTCGGGGCGATTCAGGTAAACTAACCAAAAACGATGTTGGAACACGGGCTGGGTACCATTCAGTTTGGATGCTTCAACTGTAGACTTACTACTATTTAACGCTGAGCTGCAATAACTGTCTCTTAATTAATGAGAAGTAGAGATCAGTCTTTGATGCCCAGCCCGAGTTGGTATCAGACAAAACAAAAAGAGCATTGAGTTTGTTGGGTGACCCCCTACTTATATTGCACATGGGGGGGGGCAAAGAGCCCTCCACAAGCCTCTCAGTGTGACCGCTACGCAGCCCTCTGGCTAACTGAGCACCCTGGTGTCTTCATCCTGTGTGTGGAGGCGAGCCACTTTGTAGCTGAAGTTATAGGACAAAAACAAAGTTTGGTGTTAATTGGTTTTATATCGGGGGGGGGGTTCTTTTCTAGTTTTGAAGATTGGCTCCGGTGTTCAAAAGGACCAACTGTGTGGAATGTATGCACTCCTTGAAGAAGTGGATTTTTTAAGGTGTTTTGTGCTTATTGGAGAGGGCGGCTTGGAAATAATGTTTAACCGTCCAAACATTCCTCAGGCCTCGGGGGACGGCTGATACTAATTGTTTGGGCTGTTCTGTCCTATCGAGGTTCAAAGGGAATCACCTCACAGTCCTCACAGACAGAGAGACGTATTTGCTCAGGTGTTCTTATTATTTCCTTTCCTGAGGTTACATATTTGCTCCAATGAAACCCGAGTGTTACAGAAGAAGATGGGGGTGAAATTGTGGTTAATATCTTCTGTCTGTAGCTACGTACCGGCCGGCCGCGCAGTCGTGTACAAAAAACAAAGCGCAGGTTGTTATCTGTGTCAAGTAACGGTGACGACTCATGTCGGGATGACAGAATGAGATCTGGGGGGAAAAGCAAAGGGCTCATTTCTTCTCCTTTATCTACAGGCCGTCCAATGGAAGAAATAACTCACTTCAGAAGTGCCAAACTGACTTCCACATTTAGTTTTGAGGGTGTTCACAGAAAGTGAGCAGAAACTGAATTGCATTTGCACAAAAACTACTGTAACTTCTGTTTTTATCCTGTGACTGATGCTTTTATAATCTAACTGTTGTTTCTATTGCACCACGTATCCCATTAAATATTTATATGGTTGATCATTGTTTGTTCTTTTGTCACTTAATGCAACATTTGTGTGATAACCGTTGTGCGCTCAGATGTCAGCAGCCACACATTTGTCACTCTGCATCCGAACCTGTATCAGCACCAACTGAGGCGGGGGAGCTCTTTGTTATTGGGACTGAGAGAGGTAGACTAAACAGAAGTACTGTCTGCAGAGAGAGAGAGTGTGTGTGTGTGTGTGTGTGTGTGTGTGTGTGTGTGTGGGGCTATTAATGCACTTTGATAAGAAGCAATGGCAGCTGAAATAGTGCTGAGAGAATGTGAGGAATCTTGCACATAGGTTTAGCCCTACATTTCCTCATGCTGTGTGTGTGTTTTAATGAAAGAGGATGGTGTGTGTCCGTCCGTCCGTCCGTCCGTCCGTCCTTGTATTGTTGCCAGGCAGATACAGTCCTCCACATGGCTCACCTCTGACATCAGTGTTTCCTCGCCTCTCTCCTGCCGCCAGTTTCTCCCCAGCGACTCAAGGCAAGACCCCCCCCCTCCAGATACACTTGACACACTCTCACCATATCGCTCCCACCATTAACCGCTCTTCCCCCCCGCCCCTCCGTTGTATTTTAACTGAGGCTATTTGCGGGCTACTATGACAGCCGCATGTAAACACTCATGACTCTCGCTGGCGTCTCCCAAATCCTGCAGAGTGGGTCCGGGGTCACTGTAACAATAGTGCGCTGTGTGTTACAGTTGATCACTTTTATTAAGTGGGATTGTGATGTTCTCAGATGAGAGCTAATATGTTGCATGTTTTGGTGTGCTGGAAAGGAAGGCGCCACCGGCCTTCACCCCAACAACTGGCCTCTGGGTTTGACTTCTGTCCAGCTGAATGGGACATCGAGTTTGAACGAGTGTTTCTATTATTTTGTCTACCCCATTTACATCAGTGAGGATAGGCTGAGTAACAAACAAGCTGTGTTTAATAAACTAACGGAGTGAATTGGTGTCCCAATCGGGGTTATTATAGTCAAAAATATACCCTTTAATAAAAACTAAACTGGTAAATAAAATAAAAATGAACGTAAATCAATTTCAGTTTTAGTTTTTTAGCTGAAATATATCGCACCAAAAGAAGGAAAAAGCAAGAATACGGTCAACTCTCGAGAAATTCAAGTGAATATTATAACAGATGGCGGATCAGACACTATATATGAGGATTAAACATGGGACATGAGTCCTCCCCATGTGTTCTGTATGTTGATGTAAACTTTAATATATTCTTATAGAGACATTCTACCTGCCCTAACAAAAACAGAACATGTCTGACCAACTGAAACTAAACTCAGAACTATAAGCACACTAAAGTAAAAATAAAAACTCATTAAAGATTCAAAACTATTAAAACCTCGGTCTGCATGCAAGCAGGTTTTGAGTTTATAGTACTTGTGTATTTTTCTGGATATTATATTTAGGCACCTTAACCTTTCATTAGAATTAAAACAAATGTGTTAACATCATTGATAGGCCTCCATTACACGAGTAATACTGTCATTGTGGAAATTGAAAATTGCAGTGTGAAGAAAAGACTCCAGTTTGTAGACGTTTTCACAATGTATTTTTATTGCACGCTTTTTTGACAACCATCATTTCATAATGCAGGTTTATTTCTTAAAACAACAATAATGCACAAATGCACTCTATCTGTATGACATCACTGCTGAGCACCACTGAATACTACCTGGATCAAGTAATAGCTTTCAAAAAAATCCCAAACAATTGCCAGGTGAGTCTGGTGTTATATTTCTATCACTTCATTGCTACAAACTGACACATTCACAGGAACATATTTCAAATTCAGTTTCCTTCCACCTCGTGACGTCTGTTGTGTTGATGCACTTAAACCTGAATGATTGTGGCTCACAGTGGATGTGATTTACATAAGTCGGTATCAATAACTTTATTACGCAGCTGTGTTCAGAGAACCATCACACTGCTCCCTCCAGCTGCTTGATGTCAAAGGTCAATAAAACAGCCATGTCACTGGACTCCCCCGAGGCGGCGGCCAGTTTCAGAGGTTGGAGACCGTTTCCACTGAAGACCTCGCCCTCCCAGACTCTGCTCTTATTCAGTTTCAGATCAGTCTGCGTCTCTCCCATCATGCTCACCCTCTGGGCCCCGGGGACCCTCACCCTGAAGCGGACCCACGCCAGGGGCTCCAGCAGGCCCACGCGAGGCTCAAAGAGCACGCAACCTTTCCTCCAGGCGGAGTAGACACCGGGGAACGGAGGCCCCGGCTGATCGCAGCTGTTTCTCAGAACAAAGTCACACATGGGGCTGAAATCTCCACCAGGGGTGATTTTGGCGTACAGGCCCAGCCGATACACCCCGGCGTCGGGCAGGCTGACGCTCACCGTCACCTTGCTGTCCGTGTACGTGCAGAAGAGCTGCCGTGACAGCGGGATGGCTGCCGGTTTGTTCTCCTCTCTGCTGAGCACAGTGTGAAGCTCGAGGTCCCGCTGGTTGTGGAAGGTGACGTTACACTTGCCCTGCTGGGTGCTCACCAGCGCTGTCTTGTGGCTGAATTTGGACAGCCCCGCCTCTAACGTGCGGGTCCCCGGCCCGCACACCGAGCTCAGGTTAGGAGGGTAGAGCTCATCCGGTCCGACCACCTTCCCTTTGCAGTGCAACAGGAAGTTTCCAGCGTTCTGGAACTTGACTTCTGTTTTCTCGTAGTCTCGCACGAACACCGACAGCCGGTAGAAGCCGCGCAGGGGGCACAGGACGTGGCAGGTCAGGACATCCGGTTGGATCTGCGTAGCCAGGCAGCGCTTAGCCACAGCAGCTTCCAGGCCTGGGTGGTCCAGCTCACACAGCACCATCAGAGGCCTGGATGTCTTCAACGCCAACTCGAAGACGCCTTCTACCGCCTCGGCGGCCTTGCTGCCCTGGCTGCTGCCCGCGATGCCCAGAGATCCGGCAACGGGCTGCAGGCCCCAAGACAAGAAGGGGTTCTCTGGGATCTCCTCCATGGCCCTGGGGGTCGGACACTCCACCGTGAAGGAGCAGACCCAAATCAGAGACGTGGTGGCCGTTAAAGGCCCGGCAAACACCTTGACGTCGTACACGCCGCTCGCGGGCGGCAGCAGCTGCAGCTTCATGCTCCGATGGGAAACCGTCAGGAGGCCGAAGGAGGAGTTGCTGGAGTCTTTCTGCTCTGGAGCTCCACAATGTAGAAGGTCCTGGTGCTGTGAGATGTCATAGGTGAAAGTCGCTGGCCTGGAGAAGCTCAGGGACACGTTTGCCTCGCCATCATCTGAGAAGGAAACCAGAAGTGTTTTTAAGAGCTTTTCTCTTTAGCTGAAAATAGATATTGGTACGGCATAATGGCTTGAATCCATTTCACAGAAGCAAATACTTAAATAACATGCATATCATTTGATTTCCAGTGCCTAAAATGACGTAAAAACGGGAGGATTGATACATTTGCACCCCGTGAGCTGAGGATGGACCTGTGACGATGTGGAAGTGGTGAGGCTGAATCAGCCGGAGCCCCATGGTGAAGAAGGCTGAGGTCTTGAAGACCCTCCTCTCGAACTCCTCCAGGGGGATGGGCGCGTCCAGGAGCTGCCACTTCTCCTCATCGGGGAAGTGCGACTCTATGAACTCCTCTGGGTCCGTCAGGAAATAGAAATCGTCGAACCTTGGAGGCAACAGATGGCGACGGCAGACTGATTTGAGACTCAACTCGCTGCTGGTTTTCGTGTGTGTGTGACGGTAAGCGAAAGGGCAAACTTTTCGGAAACCTTCGCAAACCTTTTGATGAAGCTTTCGTGTTGCACATCTACCCGTCCGGCTCCCCAGCAGGCGTCCAATAGGAACCACTGTCCTCCCAGAAGCACAGAGTTCCACAGGTGGTCGGAGTTCACATTCTTGAGGCTCTGGCCCTGAAGGTACCCGATGCCCTTACTGTGGCCCGGCACTTCTTGGCACTCAATGCCCACCTCTCTGTAAACACAAAGCACACAGAGCGCTCACTGCTGCTTTTATTTATTGCTTCTTGTTTTTTATCCGGTGTGCTTAAGCGCATGTTCAAGGTTGTGTTTGTGCTGTAGGTCTTTAATAAAACCACATTATTTATACTGTGTCTTCAACTCAGAAGGGAAGGACGCAGCACAATGACTAGTGGAGGAATCTGAAGGGAATGAGCACTTAGCGGCTTTAAACTTTGTATTGACTACTGTTGAACTCAACAGAACTCAAACAGAAGAATGTGTTGCAATATGAATCATATTTTGTGACATGTTTTTCACTTTACACAGGAAGCCCTTGTTGCATTTTTATTCTTTCAACATCTCTTGAACATCTCAATGAAGGCATAACGGTTTAGTCCGAGACATAAGATGTGTTTACCTGCACATCTCTGCACAGAGGCTGGAGTAGCCACAGCACACGCCCCGCCCGGTGGCTATCACCTCCTCCGGGGAGCACAGCTTCTCTGAGCGGCCGAGGTACCCACTCACATCGTACTCTATGAAGACAGCATTCCTTTTATCCCAAAACAACCAGCACTGTGCCTTATGTTCCCCTTCCTGCCGTTTTCCCTGTTTTGTTGCATTACAAACTGGACTTTTATTTGGATTTGATGTAATAGACCGACACAAAATGGGGAGAATTGGTGAGGTAAAATAAAAACACATAAAATCACATAATTAGTAATATATCGTCCTCTCTTGGCAGGTTTGCTGTGGAGCCATATTCTTTAATGGTTATGCGTTGGGTCATGTGACACTTGGATTGCACACAGGTGAACTTTTTAAAACTAATTATGTGACTTCTGAAGGTAATTTATATCACTGGATCTTTATTAGAGGCTTTACAGCAAAGGGGGTGAAAATGGACTGCTAGTATAGCTTCTAGTCTTTCCGACCACTCACAGCGCTTACACACTACTTGTCATCATTCACGCTGATGGTAGGGGCTGCCCACCGTCAGGATTAGCTAACATTCTCTCACACACACACACACCGTAGGCACAG